ATGGGGGCTCTCCTGCAGGAAAGCCGGACAGGATGATGCTGGAGATGCCGGAGTACAAGGTCCAGGGAATGGCACAGGGAGAGGCTGCAGACAGGATGATGCAGAACTTCAACACCACGATGGAGGGACTTTCTTCTTCACTGCTCCACTTCACTGACCAGGCCTACAGCCTGGTGAGGCATCCCGTGCTAAAGATACACCCAAACATAGACATACACAAACATGCACAAACTGCACTACATCCTGCCCTAGAACAGAAGGACAGGCAGGGCACCTATGTTAGGATGCTGTTTATAGATTAGAGCTCTGCTTTCAACACAGTTGTTCCTGCCAAGCTGGTTCCAAAACTCAGGACTCTGGGCTTGTGCAACTCGATCTGCAACTGGATCCTGGATTTCCTGATGGGCAGAACTCAGGTGGAGGAAACCGGCAACAGTATCTCCTCTGCAGTGATCCTCCACTCTGGAGCACCCCAGGGCTGCTATCTCAGTCCTGAGCTGTACTCCTTGCTCACCTACGACTGTACAGCCACTTATAGCACCAACCACATCATTAGGTTTGCAGGCGACACCACTATTATTGGGCTGATCAACGACAACAACAACGATGAGTCCGCAGACAGAAGTGAGGTGGCGCACCTTACAAGACGGTGCCTTGACAACAGTCCGGCCCTGAGTGTCAACAAGACAGAAGAACTCATTGTGGACTTCAGGAGACCCAGGGGGAGTCACGCCCCAACCCGCATCCAGGGCCCAGCAGTGGAAACTGTCAGCTGCTTCAGGTTCCTCAGCCTGCAGATCTCCACCAGCTTGGCTTGGCCTCACTGCACTGCAGCCAGGCTGAAAAAGGCACGACAACCCCTGCACTTTCTGCAGCACTGCAGACAGTGTCCTCACTAGTGGCATCACTGTGAGGAACAGCAGTACTACCATGCATGACAGAACCGCACTACAAGGGGTTGTGGCAACAACACAGAGGATTATAGGATGTGATGAACCGTCAATCAGTGAGATCCACATCATCTGCTGCCATAATTAATGGCGAGCAGTACCACACTGGTAAAGCAAGGAGCACCAGACTCAAGAACAGCTTCTACCCCACTGCAGTGTGCATCCTCAACAGCTGACTGCAGGGCCTAAAGACACTTCTGCACTTTTTGGATGGTCTACCATGTCTTTATTATTTTTTAGGTCTCACTATTACATATTTATTTTTCCACAACATGTTTGTTGTTCCTGCTGTCTACATTG